GCCAAAAAAAGTTTTGCTGGCTGATGGCGGTTTGTCAGCGAACTCTGTTGGCTTCTTGTTGCCGTGAATGTCGTTTTGTTTTGCTGCTGTTTTGTTTTGGCTTCTTGCCTGGGCACCATTTAAAAGGAAAAATATGTATGACCAAACTGATGAGATTTTGTATTGGAAACAATCAATGCATGGATCCTTGAAAATGTACAAGCACTGAATCTTTAATTTGAACAAGAATAAAAAAACACTGATACTTGTGTTTAGATCGAGGTTGGCATTACAAAAAGTAAACAGACAAAGTCTGTGGAAATTGTTTGAGGTAATTAACACCTGTATGTCCAGGACTGCAAGCTGAAATGAATAACAAAAAGAGCAAAAATAACAAGGAATTTCTGTGCAACGTTTTGTGGAGTACTTGTTAACAAAAATTGCAAAAAAAAACAACAATGACGAAAAATTAATTTTAGCCAACAAAAGGACCAAAAGGACTTATCAAATCAGCCAAGGAAAAAAGGTCCTCAAGAAGACTGCAAATTTACCATAAACAATTGCAATGGACACAACATTGTTGAATGTTACATGTCTTACACGTTGCGTCCGTGTGTGCACCCTTTTGCATGATGTTGTATGTTGTAGTTGCGTGTTGTTGGGAGTTGTTGTGCAAAGTTTGAAAACAGTTAAACTTTTGAGCCAACAACTCCCAACATTTCTTTTGTTCCATACGTGATTGCCAAAGCGCAACACTGTTGCTCTTCCAACATTGTTGGGGCCAATCACACACATTACAGATGGTCTCCAAAGTCTCACATGTATGGGTTGTATCCTTCCCACAACATGCACTGCAGGTCCCAACATTGTTGGGAGTAAATGTTGCATCTGTCTGTACACCACTGCCAAAACGGACACAACAAATCCTAACATTGTCAGAGGCTAAGTGCATGCGTGGTGTTAGTGATCTTGATCATAGCCTTAACAAAATAGTTCAAATTTTGTCATTGTGCATAAGAAGGTGATAAATGGCATTGAACCTGAACTCCATTGATGGTGCATAGATTCTACCTTAATTACATTGATGAGTGAATTAATTTCATTGTTTGCAGAGTGTTGGTGAAATGTCAGTGATTAATATCGGTGATCCGTCGGTGAAGTAACAACCAACTATCGGCCACATATCGACTGATCAATGCCAATCGATACTCGACCAACAGTCAACAGATACTGGGCCGATATATTGACTGATAATACATTGCTTCAGAAGCAATGTGATGACTAATCACAATAGAAAAAATTCCAAATTTAAGCTTAATTTTTTATTCCTACTGGCTATCGAGGGAGAACCAGAAATAATTATGTCATACTTGATATTCTGAACCTGCGATATAAATGGCAAATCACACCTTAGGTATAAAAATTGACCCCTCGGATATCAATATGTATTACTCGGGTCTCCCTTTACAGTCAAACCAGGTCAAGCGTTCCCGTCGCTAACAAACTAATGAATTCATTAATGGAAAAATGATTTTGTTTGTTGATTCAATAATCCATTCATAAAATGAATAATCCAACAGTCAAATTGTACCTTGATTCAATAATCAAATGTTGATTTGGTTTATGAACAAAATCTACCTGTTCTTTAATTTTTATTCTTGTCTGTTGTGTTCAATCGTGTTTGCTTCCCTTTTCCTGCCGTTTACAATTGCGTTTTTCATTGCCTTTAATCAAAATAACAGCTAGAATAGACAGACCGCAAACGCAAAGAAACTGACAAAGGCCGAGGATCGAAATCCACCAATCACCGCACATACACTGACCTCAGTTTGACGGTCGTGTTTTCTATAAAAGAGGTCAGGCCTAGGTCTGTTGCACTGATTACTGGCAGCAAACTGGCGTACATGTAACAGTTTGTTTGGGTTTGAACTTCAGAACTCGCCAGAACTCGATTCTCAGAAAAAAAAAGAGCAAAAAACAAAATTCTGAGGTCAACTTGTGGAAAGTGTAATTTTTCAAAAAACAGTAATCGAATCAACATTCGATTATGGAATCGAGGCTAAATATGACTGTTGGATTGTTCATTTTATGAATGGATTATTGAATCAACAAACGAAATCATTTTTCCGTGAATGAATTCATTAGTTCGTTAGCGACGGAAACGCTTGATCTGGTTTGACTGTAAAGACTTCGGCATTGTTTTTTTTCTGGAAAGTTATATATTATTCAAGAAAGCAATTGTTAAAATGGACATGTTTGTAGTAAGAATTGTGCGCTTTGAGTTACGAAAGAGGCTCCTATTACGAATTGTCAAGAATCAGTTTTCGATCTCAATTAAGCTTATAACAAAAAACTAAACTCACCTTTAATATACATTAATGCCAAAACCGTGATGACACGGCCAAAAAAAGCGAGAAATTTCCCCATGTTGCTGCGAAACGTCGTTCGAACGTAATGGAACTTTACGGTGTTAGTTGCCTCGTTTCCAGGTAATTCAGTTGTGCACCGTCATGGGTCCCGGGGGGGGGGCGGGGCGATGGGGGTGAGAGTTGCCTGCGTCGCAGCCGCTCTAAACCTTCCGTATAGAGCGTACGGACTGTACAAATGGTTTAGACGAGTGCGCAGGCCGGCTGCAACGCAGGCTAGGCTGGGAGGAGTATGTCGAAGTAAAAATTTAGATTCCGGGATCATGTTTTGAGAAGGGAAAATTTGGCTTTGGGTGGCTTTTTTAGGCTGACCGTTCGGAAGTTCGGCGTGTAATTTTTTGGGGAGTTAATTTTTGGTGAAGGGATTTTTTTTGGAGGTTTTATTGGAAGCCAGAATTTTATTAGCCTGTTCCAGGCTCTCAGATTGTGGGGAAGACGCGAAAGAAAAAGGCACGCGGAAAGTTGGAGGAGCGCTCTCTCCAGTTTCCACCCGTTTTATTTTCGTGTTTGCTTTCTCAATTCAGCGGACCCGACTATCTCGGAGCCTAGAACAGGCTAGATTTTTGTGGGTTTTGCTTTTTTCAATAGGCCTGCACTGTTTGCAAGGTTGTCTGTGATTGGCTAGTGTGTTAATTCCGGTGGTCATAGAGTGGTCGACCAATGAAAACCAGCATCTTTTCATTATTGGGGTGTAAGTGTAACACCTTGTCCCTAAATCCGGAGTACCCCCTGGGGTTTTGGGTATTTTTTCCATCTAGGAATTGGTTAGCTCAAATGACCACCACAAACCGCATAATATCAAGCCAAGCTTTAATAATTATTCGATCTACAAGAAATGCATTTATAATTTGCAATCAGAACAAACACAAATCAAGTCTTAATCTCATAGCTAAATTCAGAAAACTTTAATGTAAACCTACTTCTGTGAGAAGTCGTTGCAACATTCGCATTTAACAGGTTAGCAGATTCTTTTAACAGATTCTCCAGGTAAGCGGATTTATAGACAGGCTGAAAACTAATTTCTTTCCCACTTGGATGCTACTGAAAAACTGGTTTGAAACTCAACAACCTAACAAATCAATGTATAGAATTAATGTCAATCACGATTCTTGCCATCAAATAAATCTATCAATAGGAGGCAACGCTTATTTGATAAACAAAACATTCTCCGCCTTATCATCCTTCTTGAAAGCAGCCTAACTTTCTTTAGTCGTATCCCTCAGCAGGATATATAACAGCAATCTTGGTGACTGGAGGGGTGTACTCTCCGGCTCGTGTTTTCACTTTGACGTGCGGATTCGGCCATCTGTCCCGGGATACATCTCGCCAGCCATGACTACGATATCATCGACTTCTACGTTTCGCCTGTCTGTGTGCCACGCCTTCCTTGTCACTAGTGCTGGGAGTGCGTCTCTACTCCAACGTTGCCAGAAGGAATCCACAATTTTCTGTACAAATTCTACGCGGCGTCGCGGGTGTTTCGTGTCATTGAATGGGCCCTGAGGAACTTCCGATGTTGCCCTTCCAAGAAGCATGTCGTTCAGACATAAATATTTGCCATCATCCGGTCTTTTGGAACACGGCCGATAGGGCGTTGGTTTACGAGATTTCCGACTTCTAGCAGGCATGTGTAAAGCTCGACCGGACTCAGAATCTGTTCTTCAATTGACTTCTCTAAGGCACGCTTACAACTTTTAACTAGTGCCTTAGCGCACCCGTTCTGAAGAGGGGCAGCTGGAGCAGTGAACAGCCAGTTGGTGCTTCCGCAGACATCAATGAGTTTGTCAGAATCTAAACCTTTGACCATTTCGCGCAGTTCTCGTTCTGCGCCAAGCATCTGCGACCCGTTGTCGCTCAACAGCACTGCCGGGCATCCACGGAAAGAGAAAAATATTCTTAGCCCCTGGATAAACCATTGTTGAGCGGTCAACAGCTACCGCAATGATTTGATTTAGCGCCTTCCTTCCAATAAGCGACCTCTTTCGAATAAGCGCCCGTCTTTGTTAATAAGCGCCCCCATTCTGATAAGTGCCATTTTAAAAATTCATTGGAACAAGCAGCATTTTAGCACAAGGTAAAAGTCGTGTGTTCAGCCTACAGACCCCTTTTTACACTATCAACGGGATCGAATTAGACGTCAAAGATACTGCATCAGAAAGCTTTTATTCAAGGTATTGACGAAAGTGATACTGTCTTAAGCTATCGGCGTAGAAATTCAGTAGCTAAATTTCCCCCACGTTAAATGAACATTTACCGTATGTGACCACATTGAGACAACAACTCAAACGCGGTGAATTCTAACACTGAAAAACGGCTGTTGTTTTACTGACAAGTAGATAAGGATGACGTAAAACTAGAAAGGAAAATACAATTGAAAGATCTTAATTACATGCGACGAGAAATGTACTAAGTAAACAAATACGAATACAAACTTAACTAGAAAATTACAACAGGCGAAATAATAAACCAAATAAAAGAGGAAACGAAAGAAAGACTAATACCTTGTGAGCCTATTATAAATTTGTCCAGAAAAACCAAAATCCATCGCTGAACTAGCGAGCGAAGTAATCTCTGACCGCCGAGCTAACGATCATGCAACTTAAAAATAACGGCTTGGTCACCTGACCCCAAAAGGGGGCGAGAATTACACTACCGCGCGGTCCTGGGCTGGCTAGCAGCCACACCGTACAGTTGTTAACTGTTACAGTTTCTGTTATTGTTTTTTTTTTTCAAATAAATATTAAAGTTTTGTTTTGAACATTCGGTTCTTTTTCAAAAAAGAAATAAGCGCCCTGTCTCGAACAAGTGCCCTCCCTTGAAGTACCGAAAGAAAATCAGCACCCTGGACGCTAAATCGAATCATTACGGAGTTCCAGATGGACGACTCTTGTGTTTAAGTACGTGAAGATGACGCCGTAGTGCTTTTTTGTCTTGCTGCGCCCTATCTTCACATCGTATGGTCCAAAGTAATCCGGCAAGAGGGATAGTAGAACGACGGCGTTTGCGGCGCTAAGCGGAGAGCCGGCAGGTCTGCCATTAACTGCATCTCTGCCTTAATTGTGTGCCATTTCTCGACAAGTAACACATTTAAATTTCACAACCTTAATGAGCTTGTTCGCCTTCAGGATCCAGTTTCGTGTTATTTTTGCAGTAGTTGTCGCTATTCCAGGATGCCCATGGTTGTGCACTGTAATTTTGAGGGAGTTATAACAACTCCTCTAGTGGGGCTAATTTAACTCCTTACAGTGGAGTTATTTTTCGTGGAGTTATTTTAACTCCAAAAAGAAGTTTAAAGAACTCTTTTTCAGGAGTAAAAGTGACCCCAGATATTGAGGAGTTAAAATAACCCCAAAAAAGGAGTTATCCTGTACCTAAAATTTTTACTCCACTTTCAGATTTAAATTAACTCCAAAAAGAGTAAAAACAACCCATGTAAGGAGTACAAGTCACCCCATTTCGGAGTAATTTTAACTCCAGACTGGGAGTAAAAAGAACTCTTTTTCAGGAGTAAAAATGACCCCAAATTCGGAGTTAAATTAGGAGTTAAAATAACCCCCAAAAAGGGGTTATCCTGTACCTAAATTTTTTACTCCATTTTTGGAGTTATAATAACTCCCTAAAAATTACGGTGTGCATATGCTTGAAATCAACAGGGATATCCTGTGCTCATTGGGAAGCAGCACTGGGTGTCTTTCTTCGTAAGACACGATTGCCACGATTGCTTTGTCAATCCAGTCCTCCAACCCTGATTATCCCCTTGTCGTCTACAAACGGGCTCAATGTCTTGAAATCTCCATTCTTCACTTGACTCTTCAAATCCTTTTAGGCACTTCTGATCCATGACATTTCAGCCTTCTTTAACTCTTCAGGCATGAGAGGTCCTTCTCGTCCACTGAGTGCGTTTCTCCGGAACCGTATCTTCTCTGCTAATCGCCTTATCTACGCGGTAACTCGTATCAGTTTTCGCCAACAGGAGAAATTCTTCACATCGATTACATTTCCAACATCTGCGGGCGAGACTGCACTGACAGCATTAACGTAACGACGCTCCATGTCTTCTTTTTGTTGCAGTGGAGCTGTCTGGAGTGGTCATTGTTCCTCTGGCAGTTTCAGAAATTCTGGGCCGTTCATCCATCTCCCCATCAGCTGCATTACACGCAATCCTCGCGATACATCATCCGCTACGTTTTCTTCCCCGGGAATGTGCTTCCACTGACTTGGGTCCGAGTTATTCTGGATCTCTCCAACCCTTGCCGAGACAAACGGCTTGAAGCTGCGGGAAGGACTTTGAATCCAGGCAAGGGTGATACTGCTGTCAGTGAAGAATTTGACATCGGCAAATTGAATCGTACACTCTTTCTCTATCGTTATCGCGAGGCAGAAGGCGAGAAAGGCTGCAGGCGTGGAATTTGAGTTGCTTTAGGGGCCGGGTGCCACTCTAGACTTAGCTGTAACGAAGTTTACTTCATAGGTGCCTTGTTTCGTTTTTTTGGCGGATGTACGCGCAGGCGCCAAATGCTTCTTGCGGGGCGTCTGAAAAGACACACGTTACCGGTAATTTTGGAGTTTCGGGTGGAACCAGCATCTCTTGAAGCCAATCTTTTTAAGCTCCTTCATTTCTGTGAAGAAGAGCTGGATCCACCTTTCTTGTACATCATCATCCCAGTGAAGACCAATCTTCCACAGCTCTTTCAAACAACAGCTACAAGGTCTTTGATGATAAGAGTTTTATTGTTTACCGAACGAGCATTTAGAAGGCAGAAATGTACAGGGCGAATCGTCGGAGTATTTCTTCTTTCCATGGGTTTGCGCGACATTTTCGTTAGATTGCTGTGGTTTGAACAATTGGACGTTTTCCTGGAATATGCAAATTTTGATCGTGAACTCGGATGAGAAACCAAAGTTTGAATATTATATGAATAGCGCATTCTTTTCTCCTCTGAACCAGCTTTCCAGATCTAGATCCCCTATATTTCCTTGGACGGACATTGCCTTGAGAATGCATATTTCGTGAACAGTTTGAAAGAGCCGAGCTCAAAACAAATGGCTCTAATGGTGAAGTGAGTTGAGAGTTATAATAAACTCGATTCGTCAT